TTGGTAGTGACAACATGGGCAGGTTTTGAAGATACTGCTTGATCTGCTCAAAAGTAAACTGACATCGCTCATCCCATTGGAATTTCTTTCCTTTTTTCAGAAGACCAAATAGTGGTTCATAAGCCAAGGTTAATTTTGCAATAAACTGCCTTATGAATTGCACTTTACCTAGAAGGCGTCGCAACTCCTTTTCAGTCCTTGGTGGGGGCATTTCTAGTATGGCCTTGATTTTGGAAGGACCAACCTCGATGCCCCTCTATGTAATCAAGAAACCCAACATTTTCCCTGCTGTTACGCCAAAAGTGCACTTTTGTGGATTCAGCCTCAACCGATATTCTCTGATCCGTTGGAAGAATTTCTTCAAGGCGGTGTAGTGGCCCTCTCTTTTCTTGGACTTGACAATCATATCATCTATATACACCTCGACCTCTTTGTGGATCATATCATGTAAGATAGTGGTTGCTGCCCGTTGATAAGTAGCCCCAGCATTTTTCAGACTGAATGGCATCACCCTATAGCAATAGGTTCCCCACGGTGTAGTGAAAGCAGTTTTCTCTCTGTCCTCGGGTGCCATTAAAATCTGGTTACAACAAAAGAATCCATCCATAAAGGAGAGCAACACATGGCATGTGATGAAGTCCACTAATTCATCGATGTGCGGCAAGAGAAAGTTGTCATTCGGACTGGCTCTGTTCAGATTTCGGAAATCCACACACACCTTGATTCTTCCATCTTTCTTTGGCACCAAAACAATGTTGGCCAACCAAGTCGGATACTCAGATACTAGCAAGAACCTTGCGTCTATCTGCTTGGTGACCTTTTCCTAAATCTTCAAAACCCAATCCAGGTGTATTCTCCGTAGCTTCTGCTTGACGAGTCGGGTCTCGGGGTCAAGAGGGATCCGGTGCTAATAAATCTCAGGATTGATTCCAGGCATGTTTTCATAGGACCACGCGAAAACACTTCGTAGGACCACGCGAAAACATCTTTGAAATCTTTTAATAAAACGATTAAACGCTCGCGTTCATCCGAAGACAACGTGGACCCGATCTGGACCAGACGCGGATCCTTCTTAGTACCAACATTAATTGAAGTGATTTCATCAACCAAAGGTTTTACAAACCTCTTCTCCTCTTGATCAATCAAATGTTTCAAAACCAGAGCAATTCATTCCTCGTCATTTTTATCAAAATTTTGAAAGTCATGATCAATGCAATATATAAGTGGCACAAAGAAGTATCAATGCAATATACAAGTGGTATTAACATTCAAAAGATCCAGCTCGTCTAATTCCTCAGTTACAACCGTCTCAAAAGAAAAGAAAAAAGACAACCTGGACAAAACTACAACATTCGGGTTATCAACCCCAGGAATACCGGACTCCGACTCAGAAGAACTCGAATTTGATTCCGACTCTACAGACTCTGTGAAATTAGATTCCGACTCACTACCTGATTCAGAACTACCAGACAGAAAACCCTCCTCTAGCTGTCAAGTGAGGGACAACACATTGGATGCATCCAGAATATCATCGGAACGGTCCCCACCTGATTGGTCTTCGATCATGGAAACGGTGAGGTCCTCCCCCAAGCTCTCCAGATTGATCGGAGGATCCGAAAGGAGACAAGCCAATGCTACTCCTATCTCAAGTTCACTGCTGTTGGACTCACCCTTTGTACTCTGTTCAGCCCCAGTAGTTAATTCAGTCTGTTCCTCTGTTTCTTCACTTTTTTGCAGCTGTAAGTCGAAGAAAATCTCAAAGCGAGGTAGAAGTCGCTTCTTGAAGTTCAACCATGGCTCAGGAAAATTGCAAAATAGGAAGTCTTCCCTCTCCCGAACAAAGCGGCCGTTCAGAGTTCCCTGAATTGGCCTATGCACAAGCTCATAGGGCTTCCCACTTTGTTTTGCTTTGCTTTTGCTCTTCCTTCCATTTCCTTCCCTTTTCTCGCCCAGTCCTCATTGGTGGGCGTATAGCCCAAGCCAAAGGCATGAGGGTTATGTGGGACTTTGGCCAGTGTCGTAACACCTTTCCAGTTGCTCTTTCCTAATCCTATCACGGGCATATGCTATAGCTTGTTCATGAGATACACTAATTGAGCACCGATATATAAGCCCTCATCAATAGCTAAGATATTTTTCACCACTGTAGACACCCCATTTTTGACCGTCCTCAAGACTTGGACGTCACCATTGGAACACTTGGTGATTACCCTTGTTTGTGTTTGTCTTGAGTTCCCGGAGGTCTCGGTTGCGCACCTTGCCTCAGGATCTCTCGACTCGACCGTGTTGTGTCTGGTTTTGCACCAAACACTTGTGTTTTGCCTTGGAGGGGCAGGGAATGCCTTGTGAGGCATCCCCACACATCACCGGCCAAGGCTTGAGGTCACCGGCCAGTGATTTTATGCCATCGGCAATGTATATTGCCGGTCGGCACTCTTTGTTGCCGGTCGGCCATTTATTTTGCCAAAATGGCAATTTTGAATGGCCGATCACTGTTCATCTACTTTTAGTAGATATTTTGTTACACCCACTCTGCTCCCCTCCATACACGTGTATGGAGGGATTTCCGATTTTCGAAATCATCATTTGATTTGTTTTGAAAATTTGTTGTTGATTCAAGAAAGAGAGTGATTTTCAAAGTGGGTTTACTATTTAATCCTTTGAAATACAAATTGGGGGTTTTGAACTATGTTAATTGAAGAAAGAGGATTTTGGTGAGTTTTTTCTCAAATGTTTGAAGATGGATGGTTTTGGTGAGAAAACCTACAAATTGGGAATTTTTAAAAGAGAAGTTAAAAACTCATGGTTGTTATTGTTATCTTTATTTTGAATGTCAAAATAAGAGATATTTGGAAAATTTCTTGTTTATATTGTTTAAATGATAAATTTTGAGAAGCATGAGAAATGTAGTTCATTTTGAAAATTGTTAGTCAAAATGTTGATTTAGTCTTGAAATGACTAGGTTGTTAGAAATGTTTGAAAAGTGGGGATTATGTTATTCCTTGGATGAATTGAAATAAAAGTACTTATTCATCTTGTGAAATTGCATTGAAAAGAGAAATGAGAATTTTGATCACAACGGTAGTATTGTGTGAAATAAATGGAAATGAAAGAATTGTTGTAATGTATTGATTATTATTGCATTGGCATATCAATTCATTTGATTACATTGAACTTGACGATTGATTTAAAAACTTGCATTGAGAAAAGAATGTTGAGAAATGAGTTTTCATGAAATGGTTTTGGGGTAAATACGGTGGTAGGTCTTGACAGGTAGTGTAGATGATAGGTGTCGAGCCTTCCAGTTGTTACTAGTAAAAATGAAAAATGATAGGTGTCGAGCCTTCCAGATGTTACTGGTAAAAATGACAGAGTATGGGTGTCGAGCCCTCCAGATGATACTGGTAAAAATGACAATTTGGTAGTACTTGTATAGTCTACTTGTAGACACCAACCTAGGGATTACCAAAGTTGTATTTACCGCCCCTCGAATAAAATGTGATAAATGTTGAGCAGTTGAAATGGCATGACATCATTGAGCATTGGTTTTCAAAAGATGAAAGTGTGTTTTATTTTCAAAAAGGCATGGCATAGCATAAGCATTCCATTCCTTGAGACTTGTGTAAAACGTATATACTTTGCTAAAAATTCTCTACTAGGCTTTATGCTCACCCTACGGGATTTTTGTGCAGGAAATGATGTGGTGATTCCGCCTAACTGAAGGCGTGGAAGTATGTGCTGAGAGTATAATGTGCTCATTTGCTGTGATTCTGATTGTAAGCCAAGGGCTTTGTATGTATGGGTTTGAATAACCGTTTTGTATAACCAGGCTCAGGCCTTGGAACATGAAAACCCTTGAGGGCATTTGTTGTTTAATTAATGGTTGTTGGGTTAATTGTATTATTACATGAAGACTATTTACATCATGTAATGCAAGTATGAGGATTTGTTATTAGTTTTACTTTATAGAGCCATGACTATTGTATTACCATTTGGGCATGAAAATGGGGGTGTTACAATTAATGGAGTCACCAAAACAAAACATTAACTATTATATTTTCTCCTTTCCTCTTCTTTCCCACCGTCTCTCTTTTCTCTTTCTCTCCCTCTCGGTTTTTTTTTTCTTTGCTAATTAATCTCTCTCTCTCTCTCTCTCTCTCTCTCTCTCTCTCTCTCTCTCTCCCTCGCTCTCGCCTTGTGATGCTCTCTCTCTTTTCTCAAGGCCCTTTTCTCTTTTCTTTAGATTATAACCTAATCACTTATTATATAACCTAATAGTTATTATATTATATAATACAAATACAACATAAATATAACATAAATAAATATGATATATATTTTATTAATATATAAAACACTTTTTTCATATAAAAAATATATAAATATTCGAATTACTTATATATAATTAAATATCACCTTAAATTAATTAAATACCACATCAAATTCTCATATATCCAAACAATTAATAAAGCCAAAAATAAAATAAATAATAATAATAATAACTTCCGAAAAATCAGGGTCACTACACTACAAGTTATAACTAAGTCATAATTTATATATTATAGAATTTTCCCTTTTTTTTTCAATTTTCTTTTTTTTTTTCTTTTTTTTCTTTTTTTGATACAAGTGGAATTTATGATTTTTGGTGAATTTGATTAACACAAATGAGGATTTGATTTTAGGTTGAGAATACACTCTTCTTCATTTTTTAACTTTGAAAGAAATTGTTATTATAAGCCTTTTCCATAAAATCACACACACAGTAACAAAAAATTTCACCAATCATTAGAAAATCTGTTTGTATTTGGCTTTCAATTGTTAAAATTTTCTAAACATAAAGTATTAAGAATCAAAATCAATTTTTCATTTTAAAAATAAATTATCGCACGGGTCACCTATTAGTATATATAAAAGTAATGTTTTTTCTTTACTTTTTTTTTTTTAGAAAGTGGAGGTCATGACCCCCTACAAAATAAATATATAAAAGTAATGTTTTTTCTTTACTTTTTTCTTTTGTTTAGAAAGTGGAGGTCATGTAAATGCTCAGGAACCCCAGCCATCCAAACTTGCTTCTTCGGATCCTTCTTAGCCATTTGAGCCAGATGATGAGCCATAACATTGCCACTCCGTCGCGTGTGCGAGACACAGAAGCTCGAAAATTGCTTACTACGATCGATGGCATATTCTACAAAATGACCAAACGAAGCATTAAGATAACCATCCTCTCGCATAGCATTGACCATAGTAAGGGAATCACCTTCCAAATGAATGTTTGTTAAGCCCAACCCTACTGCAAAATCCAAAGCCTTGACAGCAGCAATAGCTTCAATACAATCAATTTCCATCCATTGTGGAATTGGCTCCGATAAAGCTGCAATAGGTATGCCATTGAGATCACGAATCACCACCCCTACCCCCACAGACCTTCTGCCGCATGAACATGGCCCCGTCAAAGTTCACTTTAAGAATCTCCCCAATTGGTGGTCTCCACTTCGCAATTCCGTGAGCCACTGGAATCCCACGCACGTTGGAATGAACCCACTCAAAATCTCGCATTTACTCACACACCATCTGAACTGTCGCAGCAGTCGAGTGAATGACATTACTAAAAAGAGCTTGATTCCGCGATGACCATAACCCCCAGCAAAGAGTGAAAAACAAACCCAGTGTGACACTATCCGTTCGACGTCCAATACCATATGCCCAACCCATAAAGTCACCACCACCACCGTGATCAAGCACAAACGATATCGGGCTTTGATTCCAGACCTCCCGTGCCCTCATACAATCCCATAAACAGTGCATTACCGTTTCTGCTGCATCCCCACAAGCCATCACACATATCCTCCTACAATATATGCCGTTGCCGAAGAACTGATTTAACCTGTAGAATATTGGAACAACACTTCCACGCAAAGACCTTAATCTTATTGGGAATGCGAAGGCTCCATACTTGCTTCCAAAACCAACTAACCTTCTACACATCAGACCCAGACCCAGACCCGCGCACCTCCCGACCACTAATATTCATTTGCAAATGGTACGCCGAGCGAACCGAAAACATCCCATTCCTCGTATAGTGCCAAACCAACTTGTCGGGAATGCCATAACAGCAAATAGGGATTTGCCGGATTGCCTCTACGTCCATCTCCAAGAGATTCTCTCGCAATACATTGACGTCCCAACAATGCCTATCCTCATCGATGAGGTCGCTAACCAAAGCACCCTGTAGCTGTGGTGAATGTGGTGAACAAACTCGAAAAGAATGAGGCCGCAGCACCCACTTGTCACCCCAAATCTGTATTGACCGACCATCCCCCACTCGCCATCTCAACTCCACTTCTAAAAGCGGTCTTGCATTAAAAATGCTCCTCCATGTGAACGAGGGATTCGACCCAACATTAGCTTGAAGAAACGTTGTGTGAGGGTAATACTTAGCCTTCAAAATTCTGGCCACCAAAGAATCCGGCACCGAAAGCAACCTCCACCCCTGTTTGGCCAACAATGCTTTGTTAAAGGCCTTCAAGCTACGAAACCCCATCTCACCCACCCATTTTGGGTCACACAATGTTCGCCAATTTTTCCAATGAATTTTTCACTTGTTCTCCCTCTCACCCCACCAATAGTTACGCACCATAGAGTCAATATCCTCACAAATTCCTTCAAGCAACTGGAAACAGGACATAATATACATTGGGATAGCTTGTGCCACTGATTTAAACAATATCTCCCTACCATTCACTGATAAAAAATTTTCCTTCCACCCATTCACCCAAATCCAAACTCTATCTTTAACAGAATTAAATATGCCTCGTTTAGAGCGGCCCACAATATAAGGCAACCCGAGATATTTTCCAGAGTCCACCAAATTACCAACCCCCATCGCATTCCGCAACCCCGCCTGAATATCCATCCCCACATTCTTACTAAAACAGACAGCCGATTTCTCAAGATTAATTTTCTGGCCTGAAACTAACTCATATTTTCCTAAAATATCTTGAACCACCGCTAGTTCTTGCATGTTCGCAGCTCCAAACAACAAGCTATCATCCGCAAATAAAAGATGAGACACCCGTGGACTACCTCGACACACCGCCACCCCCGTAAGCTTACCCTCTCCTTCAGCTCTTTTAATTAAAGCAGAAAGACCTTCCGCGCACTACACAAACAAATACGGAGAGAGCGGGTCCCCTTGTCGCAGCCCCCTTGTAGGAACAAATTTCTTTGTCGGACTCCCGTTCACAAGGACCGAATATGACACAGAGGAGATACAATGTACTATTGTATCCACAAAAAGTTGATTGAAACCCATCCTCTCCATGACCCCTCGTAAGAAACTCCATTCAACCCGATCGTATGCTTTGCTCATATCGAGCTTTAGGGCGAAATGTCCCTCTCTTCCATGCCTTTTATTCTTTAAAAAATGAAATATCTCAAATGAGGCAAGCATATTATCACTAATGAGCCGCCCCGCCACAAAAGCACTTTGGTTCATCGAAATAATATCGGGTAATATTTTCCTCATTCGATTGGCTAACACCTTGCTTACTAGCTTGTAGACCACGTTACAAAGGCTTACTGGCCTAAATTGAGACATCCGTTTGGGTGACTTCACTTTTGGAATTAACACAATAAATGTGTCATTCATAGCCGTCACCGCCTTGCCTTCATTAAGAACGCCTAACACCGCCCGTGTGACTTGTGCCCCGACTATCGGCCAAAACCGTTGATAGAATAACGCTGGTTTGCCATCCGGGCCCGGGGCTTTCGTAGGATGCATCTGAAATAAAGCGTATGACACCTCCTCTGCGGTATATGGTCGAGCTAGCTCGACATTCCTCTCGGGTGGAACGACAACGTGAATGGAAGCCAAAACTTCCCCAATATCACACTGTTGCCCTGCATCAAACAGCTCCGCAAAATACCCCACGACAATTCGCTCCAAATCTTCCGGTGTAGACCACCATCTATCATGATCATCTTGAAGCCCATCAATCCTCTTCTTCTTATGCCTTTGCGACGCTTTGGAGTGGAAGAAAGAGGTATTCCGATCGCCTTCTTTCAGCCAATTCTCTCTCGCTCTTTGGCACCACAAAGTCTCCTCTCTCTCCAAGAGTTCATCAATCTCACTACATAGCTGCATGCGCTTTCCATACTCGTCCCGAGAGAGCACGGACAGACCCTCCAAGCGCCGCACCTCATTCAACTTAGACCGCAATAACTGTTGGACATGACCAAACGTAGTCCTCCCCCACTGGGCTAAGCAAGAACCCATCTTCTCCACAGTAAGCCGTAATCCAGCCATACTTCCCTCTTGAGCCATACTACCTTCTTGAGCACAAACCCAATTAGTTTTGACCACCTCCTCGCATCTACCATCACGGAGCCACATCGCCTCAAAACGATAGATACGTTGTCGCCACCTCTGCCCACTCGGACACACTTGCGGCCCCAACAAGTCAACCAGAATTGGCATGTGGTCCGACGTCGTACAAGTGAGATGAACCACCCTAGCCTTCGGAAAAATGGCGAGCCAAGCATCATTAGCCACTCCACGATCTAATCGTTCACGTACCAACCCAGATGGCCGATTATTGCACCACGTAAAA